CAATTACATTGGAATTGCATTTTACCCAACTCCGCCCAACAACTTCAAAAATTCTGATATCTTAGCATTTTCCTGTTTCTTTATGTATGTATGTATGTTACCCGAAAATTTTCGCACAGCTAGAATCTAAACTGGGGATAAACGATTAACAATGATTAGCTATTGGCTTGTTTCTCTTTCTATTAGAAACCGAATATCTTTCATATGCCAATCAATTTATGTGAATCGGTTCATATTTCAGAGAGAATGTTATGTCTTCGGAAAAACGAATTTAGCTTTACCACAAGCTGAAATTCGGAATCAAGACATTTTAAATACGAATACTAAAAGTAAGTTTAATTTTGGGTGTAATGTCTAGATAATTAACCATATCAGTTTTTTTCCCTAATCAAAGCGATTAACTAATGGCGGATAGGACTTTTTTTTTGAAATAGTAGCTTTAGTATTCTGTATGGTGAAATAGTGATACTGAACAAAAAGCTAAAATTTTTTAAACATTCAACATGTTTATGACCTCAGGCGAGAGCCATCCATTCTGACGGTTTACACAACACAAAGTTTAAGGCTCAATGATTTAATTTCTTAATTCGTTTCGGCAGACACATTATTTAGCGCTATTAGAAATTTTCAAAATGGCGTATTATTAAGAACTTCCACAATTTCCTCCTCGGATCTTTCCTTTTTTTATTATGCATGATTATTAATTTTCTCGCATAATAAAATGCCCGAAGGAGTGCGCATCACGCCGAAATAAACAACTTTATAAGAGATTGTAGGAGAGAATAATAATTAAAGCCGCAGGTATCATTTTGGCATTAGAAAATGATTTTTTTAAATCTTCATTCTAATCTCAAAAATTATTTTTATTTTAGAAAAGTTAGGTTTATTCAGTGATATTTTCATTAAAAATTTATTATTTTATATTTCAGAAAAGAATGTTAAATCGCTGAGTCCCACAGGAGAAAGAAATGAGTGAAATTTCAAAGCATTTTACTCGTTTTGACAGCATTATATTCAAAGACATATTATTTTTGTCTTCTCCATGTACTTCATGGGTTGCCAGAGCCTCAAGCAGGTTGGACTTCCATTTCCATCCCAATTTTGAGGAAGAGCACTACGGGTGGTGGTTCGAGGTCTCCCACCCTTCTTCCCTACCACCAGTCCAGACAAGAGGACTTTCGGCTTGCTATATATTAGGGTGCCCTAATGCCGCAAAGACACTATACATTTACAAACATTCATGCTTTCTCCGGGATTCGAACCCGGGCCCTTCGGTACCGCAGTAGGATCCACTAACCACTGTAGCTTCTAGGCAACTCAAATACATGTTACTTTTAATAAAGATAAATTATAGGTAAAAGTATAGTTTAGGGTACCCCTTGGCGAAACTTGGCGATTTTTGGCGGTACATGGATACCGATTTTGTGCAATTCTTTAACTCGTTATTTTGGCTTGCGAAGCGGCGATTTTTGCGCCAAAAATCGCCGTTACACAAAGCCAAAATAACAAGACATACAATTGCACAAACTCGGTATCCATGTACACATCGACTTATTTTCACTTAAAAAAATTTCAGAGAATTGCACAAAAATTGGCATTGCACACCCCTCTTAACTTAATCCATGTACACATTCGACCTATTTTTCACTTTGAGAAAAATCATCCAGAGACTTGCACACAAACTAGGCATTGCGCACTCCCTTCACTTTGTACACATCGATATATTTTCACTTAAAAAGACAAAGGAGCACCAAATTCTACAATATAGACAAACAAAAAATACATAATCTCAACAAAATACATTTTAAACCAAACAATAAAATAACATAAAAAAGGAAAAAAAAAGCACTACCAAAAGCAAATATTCACTTACCATGATTTTCGAGTTCGCTTCGTACATCCAGAGATACGTAAAAATCAAAATATCAATCATACTCAAATGACGTTTTTCAAACCAGGTACTCTTTCTGATCGAACGCTTCACATAGTGACCATCGGAACCTTACTTCCTAGAAACCCATTCAAACCATATAAACATTTTTTAAGTTCGACTAGACGCAAATCCTTCCTACATGCAGGACACTTATAATGACTACTAAGTAAACCTTCATTTACACACCAGTCAATTAAAGCTCTTTTCCTCTTTCGCTCCAAATCGTATAGAAACTTCAAATAAATCTTACTATATTCGGTCATTCTACCGTCTAAAGAATCAAACCAACACACACCACAAAAACGCTTGCAATACATCCCATGATTCAAAATTTCCCAGAATCATGCACCCGATTACGTCACAATAGGGTTTCCATAACATTCAACTACTCAGGCTACCATAAATGAAACAACAACTTGGCGATAAATCAAACAACAACTTCGCCATAATACAAGGGGTACCTTAAATTCTACTCTACCCAAATTATATTATATCGCATACAAACCTAATCTACAGTCTATAAAGGTAACAATTTTGGAAGAAGTTTTCTTTTTGTTTGCATTTCTGTTACACATTTTATTGGATTCGATTATTCATTCATGGCAAAGCACACGAGGGCTATCTGCCTAAAGGGAGGGATGCCTTCGTGGAGGACTTTCTAAGGGTAACTGACTCGTATAGACGTTACACATGGGGAAAACCACGAAAACGCCCATGCAGCCAGCCCGTTCGCGGGATTCGAACCTCGGACCGAAGTTACACATTTTAGGTTAAATTTCTGACATATTGCAACTTACTTGAATAGTAGGTATGCAGTTTTTGATGTTCATCTCATTTTTGGTTTATTTACACAACTTGAACGCATTGTTTTAAATACTGCGAGGAAACGTAATGCCTTTGATAATTACTGCATGTATTTTTTTCCTTAGAAATTTGTTTACCAAACATAGATCTATAAATGATCCACATGTTCAGTTCACGTCGAAAAATCTAAGGAACCGTAGATTTTCAAGCTAACCACCGCCGAGATATGACTTACAATGCGTAACAAATGGCTAGAGCGATTTCTAACTATTTTTTGAGACAATATCTGAACCACATTTGGTGAAATTTATCTATAGCAGGAGCTTTGCAATGCTTGACTTTAGGTTATTCAGTACAACAGCGTTCATCTCTTCTCTAACTTAATACAACGTTAAGCATACTCGCGGCATTTTCAATAATACCACATTTTTTTTCACCAGAATATAAATTAGGTCAGCTTTAAATAGCGAGTGAAGTGTAAATTTAGACAGAAATAACAGCTGCTTCTCTCGTGAACTTTTCACCCATAGTCTAAGTGAGACTGGATAATTTCTGGCATTTGCCAGTTTTTATGCTTAAAGTTTAATTACAATTTAGAACCAGGTTGTGTACTTAGTTAAGTCCTACTATGTTGTAATTGTTTTTATGTTTCAGGACTCAAAAAGAGCAATGAAATCACTTTGGATAAGATGAAAAGTCATCTGCAGCCCAGAAAACGTAAACTAGAAGTACGTTAAGAGACAATTAGGTGATAATATTCCTAAGATACCTTCTAATATAAAATTTCAGTTCTTCAAATACAAAATCTGATGTATACACCACATGACTTCCTTGTACGGAAAATTAAATTATACGCATTTTTTCTTGCATTTCATTTAAACTTATTGGATTGAATTTAATCTACTTCGCCGACAGCGCATAAAACTCAATAGAATAAATGCATTCTTTAAAATTCACTCTAGTATTTTGTTTACCATAGCGACACTCTGGAGCTATTCACTTAACAGTATTATATTTCGTTCATATTAATAATCATAATGCACAAAATTTATATCATTTAAAGAATAGAATTATCTAATCTTTGCCACATGTTCTATTCAAATATTATAACAAAGCTAGAACGATGTATAAAAGAAATTAAGCAAACAAAACAAAAAAGAAACAGTTTTTCACAGACGATTGAGTATTTCTCATTCAATTAATTCAGTTCTCACTTCGAGAGAAGGCAAAAATACATAAAAACTCAAAATATCTGTATTAAAAATTACGAAGTAAATCTTAACTTAGTTCCTAGAAAAAATTCCAGAAGGGATTAAGCTCAATTTAATTCGCAATAATGAATGAAGGCGTTATCTTTGTTGTTGCGAAGCTAAGTTTCTCTAGATGAACAACAAATACATTATCCTGCTGTTTCAGATGTAAACAAGCAATGGCCGCCATCAAAAAAATTATTAGGCTTAGCGGCACTTAAACAACTTAAAAATTGTTGATAATTCTAAATATATTGCATAGAGATTTACTATAGGCATAAAAACCTTAACAGGAAGATAAGAACAACATAATTCAATCATTTTTAAAGCAAAAAATGTATAATTTACAAACATATAAGAGTAAAAATAACTGAGATCACGGAGCCGAGTAACAGAGTAGATATATATATATAAGTATATTTATATACGTTTGGTGAGGCCGATTGCAACCAAAATACGAGGTGCACATCTACATGTTATAGCAGTCCTGCATACAAAATTTCAACGTTCTGAGAGTACTCGTTTTTGAGTTATGCGAGATACGTACGTACGTACGTACATACGTTCGCACATACGCCACGAAAAATTCTCTTCAGAATTCTTAACTTAAAATTCTTAACTCTTAAATTCTTTACTTAAATCAGTTTTATAATTTTTTTGGAGAAAGCGAGTCTTTTATTATGTCCTTACGTACAGATACCACGCAAAAACATCGTTAAATTGCATTCGGTAGTGGTCAAAATGGATATTTTCGTTGAAATATGCTGCCTGAAACTTTCGCGATTACAATACTTCCTTTTTACTTCGTACAAGGAAGTAAAAATGTAAGATAAAAATTTCGGTTTCATACTTTCATGCAAATTGAGTAAAAACCTCATATTATATACCGACAGAAACAGCGAAAGGAACAATATGAGCTTTGATGCTAAAATGATACATGTAGATGTTCTAGTTTCATAAAAAAATTCAGTAAAATGATTGGTAGAAGCCGTTTCGAATACTGAATTACTCACCCTCTGCCTCTCACATCTGGTAGACTTCTGTGAAGAGAGATGAGATCACTCACATACTGATTGAAAGCATTCTTTTCCCAGCCTTGTTTCACCAACAACTTTTGTTCCTCCGTCAAATTCGTCAACTTCACTGGTTTCCCTAGCTCTCCCGGACCATCAGGATCCTGAGGTGGTGCCAAAAATCCCAACTGAGGATCCTGGTTCGGCTCTTGAACTTTATTATCCTCTAAAGACTGTCTGGGCTTTCGACCCTCGTATTTTTCAACGTTAGCACCATTGTTATTTAGGTCAACGTGATTAACAACGTCAGTGTTGTCCTCCTTCTCCAACCGCAGTTTCTCAGAGTATGTCATCAGCATTGTGACAACTAACCACGTGGCAGGAACGATGAGAAGGACTTTAATGAGAAGGGATTTTCTTCTGTGAAATAGAATCATAGTTCAGATTTGGAAGAACTGGATGTTATAGGATTGCTTGACGACAGGCACGAAACCTATAAAAAGAAGAAAATGTTTGATGACATAATTATTCTACAGTATATAAAAGAAACTGCCACTGTTAAATTAATACTGACAAAAATATACATGCTGATGAATGACGTAAACGATGCCCCGCTGACAAAACTTGTGAACTCAAAAACTTCTTAAATCTTTAGCAAAACATTTTTGACAACTACTGACAAACTGGCGTAATCTACGGGCCAATTCCTGAATTATTATAATTTTAGTTTTCAGATTTTTATAACATGTTTGAACTAAGAAACAAAAGCGGTAAACGCGTGCTAAGAAGACAAAGACTTTGAGAAGTAATGCGTTACATTGCAATATGAAGATGTAATATAAGTGTAATACAATTACAATTTTACTTTACTTCTGTAAATAAAGATTTTGATTAATAAATATTATATTATTAACTGTATAACTGTAACTGGGTTAATAACTTCAATAATTAATTATTGTATTTGAATAAATATAATTTATCCCTATATTTAACCATAACCTTATCCAGCCCTCGTATGCTTTCCAGTGATTTCGAGAAGTGGGCGGAAGTAGAGATTTCTCTGAGGACGGAGGAAAACTATATAAGTTCTGAGAGAGCATCCGTGGTTAACGTTCTTAGTAGTTGGAAGTATAACTACTGATTGTACTTTGTGATAATGAGAAGAGCTGTGGGAGTATTTTGGTAAAATGTTTCAGAACTGTAAAGTGTTCCTTTTGGCAAAATAAATTTTATCAATCTGTCATCGGTTCTGCGTGCATTCAATCTATTACGCACGCAACAATAGGTTTTAATACATACCTAAATCTGGAATAGAGTGTATTTTGTTAAATTCAGTTGGCTTAATCTGAATACTAGTCTTATCTTCTCAAACTATTGCAGAATCCTACTTTAACTACTTTACTATTATTTACTTAACTATTGCAAAATCCTACTTTAAGTACTTACTTTAACCACTTTACTAATTTTTGCCTACTTTAACTATCAGTATCAGAACATTAAATAATTACGAGTGTAAGCAACTAAAGGATTTTAATTTTAAAATCAAACAATAAAAATCAGCGTTATATTTGAAATTTTCGCAGGACTAGTTTCGATGGTTTTATCGAACCATCAGCCTCAGCTACCAAAGCGCAAATGAACGAGATAAGGTATAGTGAAAGGATAAGGTAGGATAAGAATGGCTGGACAGAAGTTAAGCTACTGGCACCATCTATTGAACATAAGCTAGTTATCTTTAGAACCGTAGCTTAACTTCTGTCCAGTCATTCTTATCTTTTCATTATATCTTATCTCATTCATTTGCACTTTGGCAACTGAGGATGATACTTCGGTAAAACCTTAGAAAATAGTCTTGTTAAAATTTGAAAATATAACACTTATTTTTATTGTTTGACTTCCACGTTAATTTTTGTTCGGCGTGTTATTTTAACCTAAAGAATTTATTTAAACTTAAAGCTCAAATTAGAGAAATCAAAACATTAGGAAAATTAACTTCCTTTTTCTCCCATGTTGCACAGAAAATAATGATTTAAATTATTTACAAGCTGAAGTTTCCAAACCAGACTCACCTCCTCGTAAGCAACCGCGCTTTTACGACTAACATCAATACAAAAGTTTCAGCATATCAGGTTAAAATTGATAGCCTTTCCCCCTTTGTTATTATTCCTATTAAAAAATCAATCCAGTTACTTTTTTCAGCGAAGCTAACATAACAGTACATGTGCAGGAAAGAATTAGTGTAAGATATACACTGAAGTGACAAAAGTCATGGGATAGCAATATGCAAATATACAGATGGCAGTAGTATGGCGTAGAAAATGTATAAATGCGAAGTGCTTTGGCATTTGTGTTCAAGTTATTCATGTGAAGAGGCTTTGACGTGATTATGGCCGCACGACGAGAATTAACAGACTTTGAACGCGGAATGGTAGTTGGAGCTAACGCATGGGTCATTCCATTTCGGATATCGTTAGGAATTCAACATTTCGAGATCCACAGTGTGAAAGGTGCCGGAGTATCTAATTCAGGCATAACATCGCCATGGACGCGCAGTGCCGACCACCTGCACTTACGACCGAGACCAGCGACGTCTGCGTAGAGTTGCAATGTTCACAGACAAGCAACACTGCGTCAAATACCGCAGAAATCAATTTGGGACGACGAGGGACGTGTCCGATAGGACAATGCGGCGAAATTTGGCTGCCTTGGCCTATGCCAGCAGAAGACGACTCGAGTGCCTTACTGACAGCACACACATCGCCTGCAGCGACTCGGGGCTCGGAGCTATCGTTGGTCCCTAAACGAATGAAAAACAGTGGCTTGATCAGATGACTCACGATTTCAGTTGGTAAGAGCTGATGGAAGGTTCGAGTGTGGCGCAGACCTACGAAGCCATGGACCAAGTTGTCACAAGCACTGTTCAAGCTGGCGGTGGTTCATAATGGTCTGGCTGTTTTTACATGGCATGGTCGGCCTCTGGTGGCAACTGAACCGATCATTGAAATGGATCCTTCACTATTGGGAGATCACGTACACCTTCATGGACTTCACGTACTCAAACGATGGGAATTTTTATGGTGACAATGCGCCATGTCATCGGGCCACAATTGTTCGCGATTGGTTAAAGAACATTCTGGACAATTTCAGCGAATGATCTGGCCACCTAATCGCCCGACATGAAATCTCATCGAACATTTCTGGGACATCATCGGAGGTCGTTCGTGCCCAAAACCCTGCACGTCAAACTTTCACAATGGACGTCTATAGAGGCAGCATGGCTCAATATTCCTGCAACGACTTGTTGAGTCCATACCACGTCCAGTTGCTGCACTTTGCCGGCCAAAAGTAGGACCGACAAAATATTAGGAGGTATCCCATGACTTTTGTCACTTCAGTGTAATTTGTTAATTAAAACAGCCGTCCAAGTGGCGAATGCTTAAATTAGATAATAATTCTGAAATATTTGTATCCTTCTTCTTTAACGGTTTAAAAAAAGACTTTCAGAAGTAAATCTGATTTGGTTATCATATGAGCGCCCGCCAATTCCATATTTTAACTAGCAACGAGTTTTAATACGAAATTTTGAGTTATATTTTATTATGCATAATCGGCCAAATTCAAAAACTGGGTTTCCTAAATTTATAGCAACATGATGAAATGTTTTGCCCTTTTTTTCTTTGATTAAAGTTTTCTTTTATTGGGTATATTTTAATTAGTTTTAGAATTGTTTATAAAATTAAGAAAATTAAGTATTATTAGAATTAAGAAAATTAAGTGTTTATAAAATATTTACAATAAATACTTAACAAATAGAATAATTTAATTTTCTAAATTCATTTTGATCTATACTTATGTCCCAGCCATATTTACATATCAAAAAACAGTAATCTCTCATTTACAACAATATGTTATGGTTTATATATGCAACAATATGTTTGGCTGATTGTTTCAAAACTGTTTCATGGGCTTCAAATTAAAGAACCACTTCTAGTTATTAAATTTTATCCAAAATCGAACGAAAGGCTGTTTATACGAATGCCCCCCCCCAAAAAAAAAAAAAAAAAAAAAACTGAAATACAGAAAAATTAAATTGTTGGAAGTTTGATATAAGAGCTACAGTAGATGCCATAACTGTCATATACATACACAATATAGAGACAAACATCATTGCAAAAATAGTAAAAACGTGTTGTGGGGACCCTATTCACGCTTATTTAACTGAGATCTCACTGCCGAATTTTTGGACCGAAAGTTTTATCTCCCTTACCTACGTATATAAGTTGGAGAGAATTAAAAAAAGGGAGGAAAGAAACCTATTTACTATACGCATAACATAAAATTATAACCAACATGCCTTCAAAAGTTTTCTCCATGCATACAGTGAATGCGATTTAATGCCCTTAAATAATCTTCCATAAAGGCATCATTCCTCTCAAAGCAAACTGCCGTCGGGTGCTATGCCCAATACAAATAATCCAAATCAATATAATTCTATACCCTGAGGGAAATTAGTCAATTACTTGGAGTCATCTATAATATAACTGGATTTCATATTTGTTTTAATAAAATAACAGCATTTTTAAAAAACTTTTCATGATAATTATCATATTTCGTTTCATTAAAATGTGCATAATATTGTTACGAATTTTTTACATACAAACATGAGTTTTTAGTACAATTGTATGTGAAACTGTTGTATTTCTTTTGTATAATGTAAGATGAAAATGTAAAGGAGCGAAGCTTGCAGGAAATGTAAGAATACGCAGGGACAAATATATTTAACGTTGAGTAAATGACTTTCTCGCTAATTTGGCAAAATATCGCCAGGCTAACGTTTTTGTCGCCAAATTTGGCGATAATTGGACCAAGATCGCCAAACTTGGCGACTATTTGACGACATTTTGGTTTGGTCCCCGTATCACCATAATAGACTTAGTAATTGAATCATTATAATTGATGTTCTGTGTAGCTGTAACCGTAATTTGGCCCTCATATGCCTCACTAATTTCGTACTAGAAGTATCTCGGCGGACGGGTGAAAACTATATAAGATATGAAAGAGCATCGGCTATGAGTAGTTGTTGTGAGTTGTTACTTCAGATCGACTTACGAGTATTGAAAGCTTCGCCTTTTAGATGAACTTATTTGTGTTTAACATTCTTAGTAGTTTGAAGCGTAACGACTGAATGTACCCTGCGTTACTGTGAACACCTGTGCGAGCATTTCTGTAGAAAGTTCCAGAATTGTTAAGTGTTTCTTTTGATAAAATTTATTTTTGATAAAATTTATTTTATCAAAAGAAATTTTTTGATAAAATTTATTTTAAATTTATTTTTTGATAAAATAAATTTGATAAAATTTATTTTCTTTTGATAAAATTTTATCAAAAGAATTTGATAAAATAAATTTTATCAACCTATCACCGGACCTGTGGGCAT